GTGAGAGAGACTTTAATCAATGTTTCCAGTAAAATCTACCGAAAAATTTTAATGCGATTTTCAATGAACATAAAACATGTTGAACCGAAGAAAAAGAAGAAATTTCCCAACCAAAAATTTCGGTGATTTAATTTTATTATTTTCAAGTGGTTTGTTGGCGGGTGCTCTTGTGTTTCTTGCTTCTTCTTTCCTACAAACATTAATATATTCTGAAGTCTAGATATCTCTTTCTTTTTTTTATTTTTAAGTTTGTTACTCTCTTGTAACACCTCTAATCTTTGGCACTTAAATGAATGCACTGGCCCGTAAAACTCTTACTACAACTTTAAAAAAACTAACATTTGACAGAGTGATTAAAAAAAACAACTTTACAACATTTTATGTAAATATTTTCCTCCACATTAAAGTAAGTTTCTCCTTTATGAATTTTATGTCAATCAAAAGCCTTTTGAATGAATTGTATCTGTTCCAAATTACAACATTATTGTACAGATATTTTTTGAAATATTCCGAAAAAAATGTAAAGTTTGATTTGGGTCACCCACGACGTCTTCTTGAGGAGTCTAGATCGTACAGTTATACTCAAAACCGCGGACTGTCATGGCAGCAACTCGCTGCTCCCTATATACACCTCCGCTGTGAAGCATGCTCTCAATGGACCCTTCAATCGTGTCCAAATGAGAAGCAAAACACCAGTCTCGATATTGTAGAGTTCGTATCTCACTCCCCCTCCCCAACCTCCACCCCACACCACACATACACACTTTTTTTTACCTTCATTTGGATCGAATTGAGTTTTTTTTTAATGCTATCCATTTTTCACAGCAAATACGTCGGGAATGCACAGTCGAAATTTCAATACAGATCTATGGTCCGATTAGAAAGATGACTCACCCGCCGCCATTTTGGAATCGTAAGCGGTTCCTGTACCGTGTTGTCTCCGTGAAGCTGAGACAAGTGTATCGAGACCAGTCACTCAAGGCTGACTGGATCACTTGTCTGTCTCTGGATGCTGCAACAGGGGTGGAAAATGGGGAGGTTGGAGTGAGGAGGAGGAGGGGTTAAAATCATCATCATCATCGGCAGCAGCAGCAACATCATCATCATCATCATCATCATCACCATCATCATCACCATCATCATCAGCATCATTATCATCATCATCATCAGCAGCAGTAACATCATCACCATCATCATCATCATCA